CGACCGCTCACACAACATGTGTGTGATAGCCGGAACAACCGTTACCGACCGCTCACACAACATGTGTGCGATGCTGCCGCCGAAGGTTGTTGGCCAGTACCACACTCTTTGTGTGATAATTTATGAATGTAAACAAGTGTGGATATTGCTATTGGCTTCATATTTCATTGTCACGTCTTTGATTATAGGTAATTATTGCCTATTTGTTTTTTGCTTTATGTTAACTTTTTCGTGAATTTAATAAAGTTCTTTCAAATTAATTCTTCAAAAATACTGCCGGCCCCTGGCGACGTTTGACTGCGTAGACGTGCGGTCGTTAAAGTGTTAAACTTCTATTCGACCGAGGCGTGACTCGATTTCTCGTATTTCGTTCGACAAGGTGCCGCCGCGGTTCATCCAGAGGATACCGACCACGGCGAGGACGACGACGGCGGACGTGACCGTCGCGGAGAAGACGGTGAACGTCTCGACGGCCGCGCCCAGCGAGCTGACCTTCGAGGACACGACGATCCAGCCGGAGGACGGGTTCGCCGCGTACTCGACCGCGCTCAGCGTGACGATCGCGATCGGCTGCAGCCTGCTGATCCTGAACGTGCTGATATTCGCCGGCGTCTACTATCAGCGCGACAAGAGCAGCCAGCACAACTGCTCGAAGAAGAGGCAGGAGAACGGACAGATGCCGAACAACATCTGCGGCGACTTGGAGACCAAAACGGCCGAGAGGCACCACATCCAGCACATACCGCCGCCGGAGTTCGCCGATCTGCAGAACAACAGCTGCCACGTGCCGATGCCGCCGCCGCCGCCGAAGAACACGAAGCCGGGCAAGCCGGGCCAGAATCTGATCATCAGCCCGAACCAGCTCCAGCAGGAGAGCATGGCCATGACCGGCACGGGGACCTTGAAGAAGGGCCACAATCATCAGCAACAGGTCATGGACGAGCTGAGGGTCTGACTCCGAGAGAAGCTTCTAGGCGCGGGGAAACGAACGAAACGGACAATTGATGATAGTCTTACGAGCGACCCGAGCGAGCTGTTCCTCGACATTCTCGGCGAGCTGCTGCGCCGCGTGTCCGACGGATCGGCGGAGGATCGGCGCTGGTCGAGCCTGCGCGAGATCGAGCGTGAAAGTGCGGCCGGGGCTGGATCGCGGAACGGTGGAACACGGACGGATAGATGCTTCGATACGAAAATGCTGACGACTCTGTGAAAAAAAACGTGCGTTTGTTTCTATTCGACCGTTGAAATCTTGGAGAGAGCGAGCGCGCGTGTCTCTGCGTGTGGCTGTGTGCGCGCGCGCGTCTGTTCGTGCGTGCGTGTATGTACGCGTGTATGTGTGTGTGTGTGAGAGAGAGAGAGAGAGAAAGAGATCATTTGCCTGTGAAATTATGGAAAGCATTTCGCTTGTTCGTCCACGAGAATTATCGAGACATCAACCTTTAATCGTAGGATCTTCGATCTAACTTTAATTCAATCGAATATTATCACGGGTAAAGACGTCGAGCCAGTGTGTTCAACTAGAAGACTGTAAAAAATATAATGAACGGAAGCTTCCCGGATCGAGTTCTCTTGGCGATTCTTGACGATCCGTCGGAGGATCCTTGAAAATCTTCAAGATCGATCGAAAAACGAAAAAATACTCGATCGCTCCCCCTTGCCACAATTTCTTCCCGACACGGTAAAGAAACGCCTCTGCGAAGCGTTGACGCGGGACGCCTGAGAGAGAGAGAGACAGTCGGGTGCAGCCTAAATTCTTTCGCGGGAAGCGAGGAAGTGTCTCGAGGAACGAGGAACGTTTCTTTTCTACCGATAACGATGGGCGAAGAAAAGTGACGCGACCAACTGCCGAAAAAATCGAGTAGTCTTCGATAATTAAATAGCGCGACGCGAGTAGAACCGAGCTCCGGGAGAAAAGACACGGGGATTCTTCCGATCGGAACGCCTTCGTTCGGCACCGTTTTTGTTCGTTTCGTGTTGTAGAACGTCTGAGTTCTGTCGTAGGCTGAATCCGGAGCGTGCCGGCTCGATATCGCGCCGAGATCGTCGTTTCGTTCGTAGACGAATAGCCGTTTCGCGACAGCCGCGCGGACAGAATCATTTCGTCGTGGATGTTTTCGTTGCCTGTTCGTGACCGTGTGTTCGTTTTAGCGTTAATTTCTTCAAACACTGGTCAGACCGTCGTCTGACGAATAACCCAGAGCCTAGGGATCGATCCGATCGCGATCGATGGAACTTTGCGCGAGGTTCGAGGCGCTGTTGATAGCCTAAATGCTCAATAATAAAAGGAACCAGACGAATGGAAAGAAACGAATGCGAAAGAAAATACGTCTTTGAACGATGAAAAAAGGAAAGAAAAAGGAAGAACGACCGGTCCGCGATCTCGAATCGAACTGCTGCTCGAATAAGAACTCATTTTTTTACTGATCGAGACCGAAGTGGATCGAGACGCGAGATCGGCCGCGTGATCGACAATTTAACCGTTCAAAATATCTAACAGCATACTGCCATAACGATTACGAAGACGACGCTTAGCCGAACCCGGCGTGTCAATACACGAGGCGTTGTCGCGTCTAATAGCGAGCGATCCGCCGGCGAGAAATCGCCGATCGCGTTCACCGATTGTCGACGGGCCGACGGAGAAGCGAAAAAACTAACGGAACAGACACCGTTGTTTTAGTATGATTTTTGTTTAGTGTGAATCGACGGTATGCGAATGCGCCAAGGACTCCGGCTGAGAACGGGTTTAGACTGTAAATAACGAATAATTACATTTAGTGGTTCGTCGAGTCGCTGATATTGAACTGCCGAGAAGTGACGAAGTGAATGACGAGGGGAAAATTGACCGTAATTGTCGAGTATCGGAATGTTGTGTGACAGAGTAGAAGCACTGGACGTAATTTTAAATTTGTATATAATTGACATTACAATAAACTATGTAAACAATTACTATCGACGGCCTCCGAACAATTCCCGAACGCCGATCACAATTCCCTAATTCCCCGGAAATCCTGCGTTTTGGTTTTTATTTCAAGCGAGCGCACGCGGCAGTGTGCCGACTTTCGCGCGGATTGATTGCAAGATGGTTAAAAATAAACGACTTTTCTAAATTATATCATCCAGATGAAAACCGTTTAATTAAATCTGTCCTACTTTCGCCAAGGAGCGCGTTCTCGTCGAACGATGAAATTCAATCAACCGCAGATTTCGTTATTTCTCGCGGATTAACGAATTGCCCCGCTATAATTTCGCTTACGCGATGTATTTTTAATAATCCCCGCGGACCCCTTAAATTGCAATCTTAGCTTGTCTCCCCCCCCCCCGGGGGGCAATCCCCGCGAATATCCGGATTAGTCGAACATTATATTAGGTTGGTGCATATGAAATGTCAGATTTTCTTTACACGCGAACATTTGTCTCCCTGTTTTCGCTATGCTTTTCTTTTTTGGCATAACCTCGTTTATAGTCGTACCGTCCATTGCCAGAGTCACGTTTCAACGAAGAAAATTTTCTCAAAAGTGTTCCATTTTGTTATTTGCTTTGAATCTCGTAAGGATACGAATTTAACCGATATTCGTGTAATTCTTTTATGTGAGTACAAACTTGGTAATAATGCTGCAAAAGCTGCACGCGATATAAACCAGGCGTTTGAGGAGAATACTGTTAACGATCGAAAAGTGCAGCGTTGGTTTGAAAATTTTTGGTCTGCTGATTTTTCCCTAGAAAATGAACCGCGTTGAAGACCTAAAACGTCTGTGTAAAATGATGCTCCGAAAGCATCGGTGGAAACGAATGTGACCGGAATAATTCGCTACTCGTTCCTTCGAACTGGGGAGACAATTACAGCCGAGAAGTACTGCCGGTACATCGATGAAATGCATGAAAAATTGAAAATTATACGTCGTACAAAACAATTGCGAAGTTAAATGAATTAAAATATGAAATTTCGCAGCACCCAGCTTATTCGTCGGATCTTTCGCCAACCGACTTTCATTTTTTTTTTAACATTTAGAACAGTTTTTACGAGCTAAACAGTACGAAAATGTAGACAGCTTGAAAAATTCCATATCAGAGTTTATCGATTCTAAAGATCAGAATTTCTTTAAGACAGGCATCTATGCATTGAAATCTCGTTCGAAAAAGTGTACTGAAGCAAACGGAGCATATTTTGATCAAATAAACAGCTTTTGAAAAAAGATATGCAGTTTTATATATTCACTTAAAAATCCGACATTTCATACTCACCAACCTAATACTAAGTTAAATTCCAACCTGGGAATAGATTAATTGATTTTAAGAATATCAACGTATCATTCTCTGCGTTATTAAGTTTCAAGTATTATTCTGTTTCTTACAATTGAGGCAGACAATTTTTAAATTGCATAAAGACCCGCAGTCCGGTAACAATTGTCTTTAATGGAGGACCATGGCTCGTTTTTCGGAAGAGGGCACGTGATAACAGGCTCGTAGCGATAATATCTGTCCGCCAAACTTTTTATCACCTCAGAATTGTAACGTGAACCTGTTTCAGATGTCTTTCTCCAAAAAGCAAACCCTGGTCTCTTACGCGAGACAGTTATTATTGTTCTCCAAGAAAGAGCTACATTCTTCCTCCACGAGAAAGTTATTCTTTTCCTTCGTGAGAGAGCTACCCAATCTCTTCATGAGCGCGCTATTCGTTTTCTCTGCGAGCAGACTATTCCTCTTCTTCGCGAGAAAATTATTCTTTCCACCCATAAGAGAACTATTAGTCCCTTACGTCGGACAGCTATTCTTTTTCGTCACAACAGTTAGGGAACACTGAGGTAAGATGTAGCGATTTGTCATCGAACTACGATTAGGTATACAGGGTGTTCCATAATTATGTTAACAGCCGGAAAGATGTTTTTCAGGCGATTCCTGAGGTAATGCGAAGTAACTTTTTCCTTAGCGAAAATGTGCAATCCGATCAGAATGCCTTTAAGACAGGCGCATCTGTGCATTAAAATCTCATTGAGAAAAGTGTACCGAGGCAAATGAAGCGATATTTTGATTAAATAAACAGCTTCCGAACAAGGATACGCAGTTTTATATGTTCACATAAAAATCCCGACGTTTCATACGCACCAACCTAGCAGCTCGTATCTTTCGTCCGCCCTCTGCAACTCCGCTTTCAATCGGCAATATTTCACGAACTTACCCAATTATTCGTTCCGTTCAACTTACCGGCGCTGTTCAACCAGCGCGCAGGAACTTCCCGGACGAAAAACCGTTCGGCGGACCCGGGGGCTGATTATATCCCGGGTTTCGATTGAAACTGCGTTCGAAACGGAAAGAATCGCGGAGGTATTAAACAATCGGCGTTCCCACGAAACTTCTCCGCAAGCCGTCCTCGTTCCGCGAACTTCGACGCTCCGATTACCATGGATCGAAGTTCGCGGGGCCCGGCCGAGCGTGACCCGCACGGATCGGAAACTCGGAATTCATCGTTCCGGTCGTCTCGCCGGTCACCGAAGCGTCCTGTGTGTCCGGTATTTATGCCGGGACTATCGCGGTAATGCGGGCCGGCAAACACGTCGAAGGCGTTTGATGCCCACGCGGCTGCTCCCGGCTGGATTTCGTTCGCACCGGCGACCCCGTCTGTGCCGGAAACAAAGAGACAGGCGGTATTCGAGATCAGACCGAGACCCACCGCGCACCGAAATTGCTTTATGAATAGCGAGAAGAGTCCACAAGGTAAGATCAAACAGCGTCCTTGTCGCGTCTCGACCATGAAGAGAGAGTGCCGCCGTTGATTATCCACGAAATCGTTATACAATGTATAGCATTGCGATGGAAACGTCATTGTACGTCCATGATTGAACGTCTCTTTGATCAGGCTATTGAATCTAGAATCGTATTAGCAAATCGAAATTAAATCTGTGCACCATCGTGGTCCCCTCATCGTTGCCTCTAATTAAGCGATAACGTTGCTCGGGCTGCGTTGCTGAAATAAAAATCATTTAAGAGAAGAACCGGATAACTTGTCCGTTTCACTTGTATTCTGGATGATCGAGTATCGCAATAGAATGTTAATAGAAATGTGTGGCGCTAAACCAGGCCATGACCGATTCAAATAAATCGAGTAACATTACTCGTGGCTCTCCCTCTCTCTCTCTCTCTCTTCGGATAATGCGATCGATACACGCATTCGCTGCGGTGCGATGATAGACGATAACCACGCAGTCGTTACCAGCGTTGCGCTAGAGCGAACGAGAAACAATAGTGAACGTCGGGTAATGCTTTTTATCAGTTTTTTTGATTTTTCCCCGTCAACGAACTCGATCGACGGATATACATGGTACGCACGTAATTAGTAATTATATATGATAATGTACGGGTCATAAATGCACTTTAGCTTCCGGTCTAGTCGGGACGGTCGTTGCCGAGCGAAGCGAAAGAGGAAATTATGCGAAGGATTCGCGCGCGTGTTTGACGACGGAATGCCGCTGGGTCAACCCTTTGCACTCGAAGCCGTATTAATTGGAAGATTTAAATGAACTTCTTTCGACTTATGGTATCTCCATTTCAGCGACAAAGTGCATTTTATGCGTACGAAATTCTGAGTCTTGCGACTCGTACAACGGTTAGACTTTTAACAATTCTTTACAGCTAAGCTTTGATATTATAAAAAATTATCTTGGAACGTGGCGTAACAATTTCAATGGTGTCTCATGGTCACCACATACTCGAGTGCAAAGAGTTAGAGGAACAAGCGTTGGACAGTGTGAATCATTGACATTTCGTTCCGGCCGTGTTTCCTGAAAGAACAAGGTCTCTGGTTTTTATTTTCAATTATATTTCTGCAAGATCTCGTTCGATGACGTTAAACAAAAGCGTACATTATTTCCTATTTTATATAATGTATCGGAAACTGAAAGCCTTGGCGTTCGACCCTTCGAGCCTCGTGCGGTGGTCGCGAAATGAACGGTGGGGGGGAGCGGGGGGGTATGTGGGAGGGGCTAGGCTACGGAAAACGATACGCCGTGTTTTTGTTTAAAAAACCGATGCAAAATCGAAGGTATCAAAAGTATCACAAATCGAAGTTCACTCTCATTGTTCTGTCACGGTGGATTTATGCGTGGGGCTCGATGAGCAAACGGGATTATCAAGAAATGGAGTGCCACGATACCGGGATGGAGGGGGCCACGTACGTAATATCTGTGGAACGGCGTCGAGGCTCGAAAGGTCGATCTTACAATTAATGAATATCGCACCCTACTGCCTACGTTTAAGTTTGACAATTTAATTGCAAAGAGACGATACAGCAAACACCTCTATTCAACTAAGAAACATCGGCTACAATAACGTTACCACGGAACGCGGCTTGCCTTGCAAATTACATTCACAAGAATTCCCTTTCGAAATGCTACAAATCAGTGTCGCTATCATACTATTAAACCACCATTAATTAACCCCTCTGCTACGAGCAACTACCGCAGACTGTCGCTTTCACGAAAAAAAAACAAACGAAACACGATTTGTTTTCCGGATTCAGAAGAGAAAAGAAAAGCAAGAAATTCGATCCAACATCGTTGTCGACTTCCTCTATCTATCCTAGGGGATCAAGGTACGGAAAATTAAGAAGCAACGCTTCTTCGACTAGGACCCGCTATTCGGTTCACCGATTTCCCCGGACTACCCCGCCGTAGCAAAGGGGCTAAACCGCAACGGAAAGGTTATTTTCAATGCCAACTGCGCCCCCCGTGAAAGCAAGCACCGTGGACCACCGAATGAATGATCAACGCGTCGATCGTTCCCGACTAGATCAGTGCGGCTTCGATCCCGTCGGCCGCGGTGGTGACGACGTCCTCGGCAAATTGTCGCGCCGACCGCGACCGGAACAATGCCTCTGGCCGTGCGAAAAAGTAACGCATCCTCTTAGGCGTGAGTCTTACAATAGGCGAATATTAAATATTAGCGATTTACTCTCGGTATGGAAAGTCGTAAAAGATTCTATATGCTACGTCGAACTACGAGCGCGTCTCCGGTCGCAAACGGGATCTCACGGCGAGCGTCCACGCCGCTCGCGGGATCGAAGCAAAGTGAAGAAGAAGAGACACCTTGACATACGCATACGGCCCTCGAACTCCTGATTACATAGTTCTCGAGGCTGTACGTTAAACGGGGAGGAACCCGGACGCCGGGGATGATACGAGTCCGTCGGATTTTCGTCACGTCGAATTTCGTTTCTAAGTACGATCGTCGCTCTCGGACGAGTCGTCTATCGAATGAGTTATCACGGAGGAATTGTGCGGCACGAGCGTTAAACATGGAAACTTGTATCATCCGGTCGTCGTCGAGATTCTCGCGCGTTCGCGGTACGTTACGGTACGAATCGACGCTACACGACACCTTATACAGAGGGGCTGGGCGCTAGAAAGACAGTTTAACGTTCGGAAAACGGTGGTGCTAGGGCGACGTAGAGTTCACGTTAAGCACGGCGGATTAATGAATTACAACGTTATGACTTCTTATCATCACTCCTGTCTCGCTCTCGCGCTTTCTCTCTCTCTCTCTCTCTCTCTTCGTTACTGCCCTTATTTCTCGTAGTATCGTTTTCTCGGTAAAAGCCTTATCACATCAATGTACAACGACGACACTAGAGAAACCTGCGCCTGCTCTTGGTTCGCGAGCAAGCGAAGCTTTCTCAACCTCGCGTTTTTTACTCCCGACGGACGCGTCTCTACTGGTCTTCTAGGTTCTATTTCAGCAAATGCTAAATTGGCCCGCTTCTCGTTTTCTATCGGAAACGCGAACCTCCACATCAGACTTCTAATCCAGACCTCGATTTCTTTCCGCTTCGATCCCCCCATTTTCCAGTCCCAAAGGCGTTCCTCGTTGTACTTCGCCCAGTACAAGTCGTACAGATCGCTCGAGTTACCTTAATTTCGTTTAATTAATTACACATTGGCATGCTATAGAAGCGTTCAGTCTCCTCGATGAAACACAAAACCGGTATTTCGTCGCTCGACGCTCGTCGAGGAGCGAGAGACACGCGTTCTTGAATTGACACGCGCGTCCTAGCGTCGGCATTTTATCTGCCGTTTTGCGCGCGGATCATTTCGCAGAAAGAAGGCGCAGCTATTTTTCAACTCGAAATTTGTTTCGCCGGTTTCCTCGGCCGCGGGCGACAATATTGCTTGGCGGTTCCGACGGTTTCGACGTCTTGCGACGTCGTCGCGGAACATCGCGCGTCGCCGAGGTGGCCGCGGATTCTCGTCAGAATCGTATTAACAATCAATAAGAAACACGGAAATTCGGATCCATCGAAACGATCGTACAAAATGGCGAGTAGAAGCAACGTTGAGCATTCTCTAATACACCTAACGCGAAGTCGTTTCTCTCTCACTTTTGCGCTCGCCGTTAGTGAAACGCGCCTCTTTTCTTCGCACTCTCTCTCTCTCTCTCTCTCTCTCTCTCTCTCTCTCTCTTCCCTCCAATGTACCAACGGATCGCGTAACAAGAGTCGCACGCTTATTACCAAGAAATATCGAAAAAACGTCTATAAAGATTGTAATTACGATTACATTATAAATCTTGAACAATTCGTCGAACAAGGCTCGCCAATAAACGCGCTCTACGAATTACAATTTTCCTCGGTCTTTAACGACAGGCTGTTGCGGTCGCGTCTCGATCTTTTGATTCCTCGACTAACAAAGAGTATGACGGACTAATATATTGTTTACTTTCAGTCGTTTTCTCGTGATCGCACGTGTGTACGTGTGTGGTTTCTCTAAGAGACTCGTTCGTCAAGCTTCCCGGTGTTTTTTGTGCGTGTCGCGCGCAAGAAGATATGGTCGCGATAAGAAATGAAACAACGACGATCTCGAATGGGCTTATGAAATATGCTCCGACAGGTAAAACTATCGACTTCCGACAGAGAATGTGTTTCTAGATGGGCTCAAGAAACGAAACACGAACGAAACGAAGGGTAACATCGAGAAATTCGTGATATGTACGGAGTCGTAGAAAGCTGATTCTTTTCTTTTTTTCCTTTCTTTTTTTTTGCTGTGTATTGCTTCGGTCGCCTGGTGAATTTACACGTTACAAAAGGGCCGCAGTATCATCGTGCTCGAGCGTAGGCGTTTACATCGATGTAATCGATCTGTGATCGACGCAGATCTGCGTTCGACGACGCGGCGCAGATTCGCAAGTTCTTCCAACACATACAACAAGGTAACGCGCACTATAACCGTACGAAGCTCTCTTTCTCTTTCTCTCTCTCTATCTCGCTCGCTTTCTTTCTTTCGCTCTCTTTCCCCGGATTAACATGGAATAGCAACGAATCCCGCAAGTAACGACTTAAATGATTACGGCAGAAGTAGTCGATATTAGAATGGCATTTAATGAAAACGTTTCTGTTATGCCTTCCTCGCGCAAACATTACGGGCCACGATAGTCGACATCAGAAGAAGCCAGCATCTTGTTTAATAGTATGTGGATGAATCGTTTGGTTCTCTCGTATCTGAATTGTCTCAAAGGTAGCTAGCATTAATTAGCTGCACATTGATAAACCACCAACTCCCTAGCAAATGCAGCCGCTCTCCCCCTCGGACTCGGAGCCGTTCTGCATCGGTGATTGGTTCTGCAAGTCGACAGCTGCTTNTCCCTCCAATGTACCAACGGATCGCGTAACAAGAGTCGCACGCTTATTACCAAGAAATATCGAAAAAACGTCTATAAAGATTGTAATTACGATTACATTATAAATCTTGAACAATTCGTCGAACAAGGCTCGCCAATAAACGCGCTCTACGAATTACAATTTTCCTCGGTCTTTAACGACAGGCTGTTGCGGTCGCGTCTCGATCTTTTGATTCCTCGACTAACAAAGAGTATGACGGACTAATATATTGTTTACTTTCAGTCGTTTTCTCGTGATCGCACGTGTGTACGTGTGTGGTTTCTCTAAGAGACTCGTTCGTCAAGCTTCCCGGTGTTTTTTGTGCGTGTCGCGCGCAAGAAGATATGGTCGCGATAAGAAATGAAACAACGACGATCTCGAATGGGCTTATGAAATATGCTCCGACAGGTAAAACTATCGACTTCCGACAGAGAATGTGTTTCTAGATGGGCTCAAGAAACGAAACACGAACGAAACGAAGGGTAACATCGAGAAATTCGTGATATGTACGGAGTCGTAGAAAGCTGATTCTTTTCTTTTTTTCCTTTCTTTTTTTTTGCTGTGTATTGCTTCGGTCGCCTGGTGAATTTACACGTTACAAAAGGGCCGCAGTATCATCGTGCTCGAGCGTAGGCGTTTACATCGATGTAATCGATCTGTGATCGACGCAGATCTGCGTTCGACGACGCGGCGCAGATTCGCAAGTTCTTCCAACACATACAACAAGGTAACGCGCACTATAACCGTACGAAGCTCTCTTTCTCTTTCTCTCTCTCTATCTCGCTCGCTTTCTTTCTTTCGCTCTCTTTCCCCGGATTAACATGGAATAGCAACGAATCCCGCAAGTAACGACTTAAATGATTACGGCAGAAGTAGTCGATATTAGAATGGCATTTAATGAAAACGTTTCTGTTATGCCTTCCTCGCGCAAACATTACGGGCCACGATAGTCGACATCAGAAGAAGCCAGCATCTTGTTTAATAGTATGTGGATGAATCGTTTGGTTCTCTCGTATCTGAATTGTCTCAAAGGTAGCTAGCATTAATTAGCTGCACATTGATAAACCACCAACTCCCTAGCAAATGCAGCCGCTCTCCCCCTCGGACTCGGAGCCGTTCTGCATCGGTGATTGGTTCTGCAAGTCGACAGCTGCTTTCGTGTGTTAAGGCGTTATCAAGAGTGTTAGTGTGGCACAGTTAACAGTTCAATGTTTTCGCGGCATCGTGTACACATTTTCAACTTCCTTCTATTTCTTTTTCTATTTCTTTTTCATTGAACAGACACGTTCGCGATGTTCGCGTGATTATCACTGTCATTGTTAGTATTGTTATCATCGTTATTGTTACAGAAATTTGATAATCTTAAGACTACACGATGCAATGAATATTAGGCCTTAAAATCAATACTGTAGATTTTAATTATTTTCCATTGCGTTCAGGCAGCATAATAAGTTTGATACTATACGATTCAGATATTATTATTACAAACGGTATGGTTTCTTAAACGTTAAATTGTAGAATTAGTCCCATTAAAATGTACAATTCTTTTTCTCTTTTCTTTTCTTTGTTTTTTTTTTTGTTACTTTTTGAAGCTAGAGTAGCTGTAATTAAAAAGCGTATAAAATTTAAACAGTTCAAAAATGGGACGGAACATTCCCTAACATTAATAATAGTGAGAGGTTTACAGCCACGAAGCACCTTAATTAAAATTATACATTGAGTGCTGTTAGTCACGTTTTTTCTTTACAATGCCATACAATATGTTGTATGCGTATTATATCTACTTATAATTACCGTTCAAACACTGATAAAAGTAAGTAAGTAAGTAAGTAAGTCTCATAGCAACTTCGAAACAAGGAAATACATATGTATATAAGGAAAAATGGCAAGAAAATATTGTGGACTTTAAGAAATCAACATAAAAAAATAATGCTATTCGAGGTTTTTTTTATATAAATTAAAATATTACAATAATTATTAACAAAAATGTCATAATATTAGGTATAATAGCATTCTGTCTATCCGTATCCCAATTTTAAGTTAATATGTACATATCTGAATTTGTCAGAATCTTTTTGCTTAATTTCTCTATCTATAACGTTTCTTCTTCGTTCGTTCTAAATGAGTTTAACTCGGTTCGAAATGTATAAATAATACTTCCACGGGAAATGCAATATGTTAATTTATGCAGCGGCCATTCCAACACACGGAAAGCCCTCACACATGAGCAATGGGTTCTTAAAATATTCGTAAAAAAATCAGATAACATTAGCTGCTAGTTTTTGCGACGTTCAAATTCGTATTATTTTCCCTCAGAAATTTTTTTCTCTTCGTAATAATTCGCACGCAGGTACAATCTGTGTACGAGTTCTCTTCTTCAGCACATTCGTTTAAATTGAAATTGATTGGATTCATAAATATAAAAGACTCTTATTGCTGACTGTTGCAATCACTTTAAATCAATAAATCGTTGTTGTCTAAATGCTTGACTGCATTTACGCAATACGTAATTTTATAGTTTCACCGATCAGTGGATACTGCTGTCAACTTATACATATACTTATATGCATATACATATATGTGTATATATATAAGTAAGTTTACCACATCATGCAACTGCTACACCGATCATGCACACAACTAGTATCTCGTTGAAAGTTTCATTTTGTTTACAGAATGCAAAAGATATCAAGTGTCATTGCTTAAAGTTAAAATTACGATAAGTACACGCGCTAAAACAAAACGTCCGATTGAAAATTTCATTTTATAAAATTAAAAAATTACCTCGATGCTTTCTTTTTAAATATGACATTTATCGACCATTGACGCGTTCAAAGAAAGAAGAACAAGCAGCATTGGTGGAAAATTCGAGGATTTAAATAAATTATGTTCATGAATTGCTGTACTGATACAAACGAAACACGTTATTGTGTAAAAGCAGTCCACTTAAGCTACCGTGTGATATTTATATTTTCATGAATAAAGTATTATACCTATTCAGTACTGTGCTGACACTTTCCACATTCTAAACTGTGAAAAGAACACAAGGCTGAATATGTCACCGTTCTAACGTCGAAAGTTTAATTTATTAAATTAACTTAAAGAAGTGTTTTGTCTACCGTTAAGCTGATCGGTGGTTTAACATGCACAACTGCTCTCCGTTGCTTTCAGTTCAATTGGTGTGTCCTTGAGAACTACTTCTTGCACTACAGGTTTAGCAACATATTAAGGAAAACACAAAAAGAGAACGGAAAAAAAAGAAATTGTTAATAATATCAAATAATAAATATTCAAAAAAAAAATATAGTCGAAAATGATGTTCAAAAGATGGACAATAGTGATGAAGAATGTCAAAATGAGTGGCTTAAGAAATATTTTGTAACTTAATTAATTAATGTGATTCCTGTAAAATATATTAATTGTGTAACGAACACAATCACTATTATAAATTCAGGGCCTAGGATATGCTTCTTACTGCTAAATTCTTAGAAAGAAAAATACCTGAAATACGATTATGTGTGTATGTACCATGCAAGTGTGTATATTACATATCTTACAGAAAGGATACTGTCTTCAGGAGGCTTATTTTCAGTGGAATCCATACCTGGTAGAGCTGCTGCTACTCTTCTAAATAACTGAAATGAACAGGTAGCACAATTGACCACATAAAATATTAGTTAGTAAGACAAAAGATAAAATGACTTCCTTAACACGTACTTGTTTAACGTTATATCCAGCTTTAGCACTAGTTTCAGTAAACATCACATTTAACTCTTTAGCTTTTCGTTCACCTTCTTCTGTTGGAACTTGTCTTTTTTCACTCAAGTCTGTTTTATTACCCACTAGCATTATAATTACATCACTTCCTCTCTCAGCTCGAACGTCATCGATCCACTTCGATGTTTGGTGAAACGAGTTTGCATCTGTGTAAATAGTTCAGTTCAGTTGACTTAGCAAACAAGAAGATCAGTCTTCCTATGAACCACACTTACTAGTAATATCATATACGACCACTGCAACTGTAGAATCTCTGATATAACTTGGTATCAAAGATCTAAACCGTTCTTGGCCTGCTGTGTCCCACAGCTGTAATCTTACAGTTCTATCCTCCAAATACATAGTTTTACTTAAAAAATCTATACCTATTGTAGCCTGCAACAAATAACATTATGTTCTTTTCACTATAATATGTTCGACACATACTTCACATTACATTGCATTCCAAGTATGTTCTTTGAAAATAAAATAATTAAGTATATATAATCTTATTTTCTTTGATATACCTGAGATATCTTCTTAATATATCTCTTGATATATATCTTAATATACATTAAGAAATATATATATATAACAATATTGACTATAATTTCTTTCAATCAATCTATTAGAAAAAGTCAATATCTCTTGACCTCAGTACTGTCTCTCCTACTAGCATTTGCCCCTAACATATGATATTGACCACTTTAGACATTAAAGGTATTTCCTACTTTAAAGTCATATGAAAACTTCACCAACATAAATAGAAAGCAAGATGGGATTATATGATTATTGTATTCCCATAAGGCCAATGGAAAGTGTGTTACTAGAATATAGATGATCTCAGAAGATTTAAGTGTGGGTTGTATCACACTGTATAGAGCCAACAAGACATCAAATTTAAATATTCATGCAAGAATGAATTTCAATAAATTACTTCATATTTAATTCATATGCTTTTGATGCCAAAGAATACAGACATACGTGTGAGTGTACATGTAATAGTTTAATTAGATATGTGATATATATGTATATATACATATATATATATATATATATATACATCACAAATCTAATTAATATATCATAATCATTATAAAACTGGTAGTTTTATACCTGATACGTGTTGTCAAAGCTGTCATACATGAACCGTGTGATGAGAGATGTTTTTCCAACTGTAACATCAAATTATACAATTAATGCAAAAAGCCAGGTACATTTAATTAAAAAGCTACAAACATCTGAATCAAAGATGTTAGATTCTTTTAATATACATATAGATTTTCAATCTATACAATAATTTTTAAAAATTTATATTTCCTTCCAAAAATTATTTACTACACTTAACCATGATACAGATGTAGTAAAATTGTAGTAACCCGACGTGATTGATAATCGTTTAAAGGGAAATAAATACACCAGATATCAGTCGAAGTTACATGCATAAATTAGAAATTTCAATGATAAATGAATATTCCTATCGGCAAGGTTAAGAAACAACGGTTTCTAATATGAGGTACATACAGTATTAACGACATCGTTAAAATGAAATGCTACATTGAGATGGTGACAACAAGAACGACGCCGAATTCGATCGCAACGATTATGTTGCAAAGCGACCAGAAATATTGATCTATAACCTAGAACGGCCAACGGAATTCGAGTGAAATTTTCGTCTGTGACGTGCAAGAAATCGTCAGTGAAGTAAAATGTTCAGATTCATTGGCAATATTGATCGAAAATCAACGGAAGTATCTACGGAAAATACTTACCGCTCTGTTCGCCGAGAAAGACAAGCTTAAATTTACGTAACGGGTTACAAAAATCACCCGAAGACGACATTTTTATTGTAGTTTAAAACTACTGCACGATGAATTATCAATATTAAGCACACAGAAACAACTTAATCGATGCGATAAGTCATCAATTTTCACGAGAATTCATTTAACTTGACAGATCGCAAAGCCACTCCTTCCTTCAGTCGTGAGGCAGCCACGTTTAACTGGGAAGTGACGTCATTGGTTAGGAGCTAGTCTTGTCAGTTTCAGGCCATCTTCTTTCAGATGGCGTGCCGAACTTATCAAACAGTCGTGTAAAATTTAAAACACAAATATGAATTTTAAATTTTTTAAATAGAATATCAAAACTCAAGTGAATATATGTATTTCAATAATCCAGTAATTATATATAAAAAGTAAGTCCGAGAATAAGTTGATAATTCAAGTGTCAATTATAAAATGTTTTATTCATAGCTACAATAATTATGATGTGTACAAGTTGTGCAGATTTTAATTTAATTAAGTGTCCACTTTTAAATAACTTGTACGCGCCTGTTATAAAGATATTACATAGCCCTTTACTTTACAATGGTGTAGATAGTAACCGTCATAAAGTTTAGAAAAATACTTTGTAACGACACTACATTTAATTTATACATATATGTACATTGACTCTCACACACATACATACACACACATAAAACATGCAAATTAGAAATGCATTGTTCCTATAACAGAACTTGTATTCATTGCTGATGCAATCTATTATTATTTAAGTTTCTATAAGGATCTTCAACTACGATCGAGTTACAAAGTAAGTCGTAAATAGCTCTGTTAAATCTAAAAATGAATAATGCAAAGCATATTGGGAAAAAGAAGGCCAGGATCATGTTCTTAATCACAGATCTTCCAAGTGCGAATGGTAAGCCTAACTTTGTTCCTGGGGAAACGCGTACAACTTCCGAATTGTCAGGTCTATCGACAGGTGTAATATTTCGGCATTGTACAACCCGCAATCCCATCATAGATTTGCCAGGTGTTGCACCACCACCACGACCATTTACGCCATGTTGCAGCCAAAATGCCTAAGCGATATTTGATTAAAATAATGTTTATTTGTTGATGTCAATATTTTGAGGCCTGATGCTTACCTCGAAAACACACGCTATTACACAGTGTATTATCTGCAACACTATCATTCCATATGTCACTTCTAAAGACATTATATAATCGATTCTCAAGTTCATCCACAAATCATCTATATCTCTATAAAAAATAAAATGTAGTACAATCTTTCATAAAAAATCTTATTACTCTAGTCCGTTAACTTTACATACATAAGATCAAAAACATCAATGGCAATGAAAGCAATAGAAAACTTCAAGAAGAATAACATGGTGAAATCTATAAATTCAGCAGCAAATCTTTTCCATATTCGTGGTATACGATATTCAAAGCCTGAAAAAATGGTTTTCTAAGATTTCAGTAAGTGCAATTAACTTTATAGCACATGATTATGATGAAGATGTATGGTTCAAAAACACTGCATTGATCAAACCAGAAAATTTCTTTCTACTTCAGAATACGTATAAAATATGTTGGCGTAAAAGGAACACGTCAAATGCAGTATTTTTGTATCAAAAGCACATAGAGTACTAATTGAACCTCTGTTGGAATGTGATGAACTCAGGAGTTATCGTTATGACCTTCTACCTTCTGCTCCAGGAGGTTGAAACGGAGATCCCATGGGATCTTGGGCTCTTCTTTGCCTTAGCGGATCATTCTGTTGACCATTTGTGCCTAGTATTAATCTCTGTGTACCTGCTGCATTTGATGCTGCAGATGAAAATGGTGGTACATCTGTAATTATTCTATTTTATAGAATAATTTTTTATATTAACAAAATATAATACATTTAATAAGTGAAACATAAGTATACATACATGTAATGATCATATCCGATGATGAATTCAATATTTGACCCGACATTAGATAATATGGGAACATCGCAGCCATGCTCTGCCAAGCATACGCTTCGTGCAACCACTTCTCCAGCTTTCTAAAATATTCTGAACGTTCCTCTGCAGCGCTCATTTTTGGAGGTTCTTTATTACCGTTGGACTTATCGTCCATAACTTCGCCATTGTTTTCTTCTGCCATTTTGCTATTTGTGAAAGTTTAATACTTAAAACGTTGCTCTAACAACATAATGCATTACCAGAACCGAGTAAAATCTGTCCTTTCTACTGTGCGTAGCGCATAGGTTATTCCATATCTAACAACAATATAGTACAGTTGAAACAAACGATTACACAAGTAAAATATTGTCACTGTTCAAGTCTCAATATCAAAATATTTTTTTAAAAACCCTTTGGTGTGTGCTTAAATGGACACATTTGAAACGGTTTTAGGTCATATTGTACACAGCTCTGGTCGGTAAGTAATACGTGCATCACAAGTTCCCGTATAATTCTCAAGCGATCAAGTTTCCGATAAACGTACCAATTCGATTAAAAAGTTTACAATACGAAACGAGTTCACCGAGATAAAAGCCACTTTACGGACGTCGATTGTACGAGAAGGGAAGGTTCGAACTCGAGCGTAAACAAAAAATTACTGTTTACTGGCTGGACTGTCGATCGGGTGGGACAAAAAACCCTAGGAACTGGCAGTGTTTCCTAACCAAGAGGCGGCGTACGGCAGTTCGCACTGCGGCGCTAGCTTCTCAGGACATGACGTACTCGGAGCATTCGTGCAGTGATCACAGTCAGTGTACGTTTCTGACGACTCGCTCCTTTGTACTTTTCGCGTTCTCGAAATAAATAAGAGTAAAGCGGGTGGGTGTCGTGAAGCGGTGTGTCGCGGCGAGTACCTGTGTGCAGCCGTGGGCGTCACGAGTGACAGTTGGTGTCTAATTCTTGAAAAGGGTGTGGGCCACGACGCCAGGAAACATTAGGTAAGATCTTATTACACCGATCGCACTATAACGTTTTCGTCGCGTGTGCGTTCCGCCAGTAAAAACCGTGGTGTGTTTTGCTCGCGCGAGGATTTTCGTGCGGCTTCGCGACGAGAAAAAAAACCGTGAAGAACAGGAATATTTTTTTCGCGCGAAAATCGTACACCCCGACGTCGCGTCCCCTCTGTCATGCACGCGTCAATTCGATGGAATGTCGCGCTCGAATTCCGGGAATACGATGTATCGCTTACCAAAAATCGAATCTCCCACGTACACTGTCGCTCGTAAACACACGATTCGCTTTCCGACTCGCATCTGTCCGGACGCGATCGAGATACCGGGGGATACACCAACCTCGAATCGACAGGGAGATCTAGAAGCCGGGAAATCGAAGGCCTTCGGAGCCTTTCGTGGTGATCCCGAAACTTAGGTTAAGTATTTGGCAGGTTTCAAAACATTCCTAGCCTGCGTTCACGAACCGATCTATCCGCGTACTCGTATCTGCAGAGGTTTCCGGAGCGAAGTGTATCGAACTGTCGTTTTAAAGCCCGCCGAGAAAGTCGACCGGTCCTGCACATCGTACTTACAATTACATATGAAAACTAATTCATAATCCACGTGCCATTGCGGTACGTGCGTGCACTCCGAAAACAGGAGAAAAAGGCCGCCGCCGCCGCGGCACGGGTGCGCTTTGACGCATTCGTACCGTGACGAGCGTGCAACGGTTGCGTCAATATTTTCGTGGAAAATCATTTCCATTGAAATTCAATGGCGAATCAATCCTCACGCGAAACGGAGCGAAACGCACACGGACCTCTGCTATTCGATCGATCCGCGTTCCTCGGTACGCAGTGTCTGCGAGAATATCTCGAATCTAGAGTATCGCGGGAACACGCGTGGCTGACGAACTGCTTTTTTTCGGGAGGGTTCGGTATCTCTGCGATTTAGTTGCGCTCCCCTCTGGGAAGATTATCTTCTGACATTCGTTCGGGATACCGTGTATACAGCTGTTTCCAATGCTTTTACACAGAAAAATGTGTCGCGTCTTTTTCTCGAGATATCATTAAATATCAGTGTGAAACTACAACTCTGTTCACACGGTTTCAGCTGCGATTCAAAATGTTGAACATTTTTGTATTTCTCCGAGGATACACGTCTCGTGCCGCTGTCAAATTATTACCCGCAGCCTCGAATGTTTTCTCGGTTTTAGGAGTGAAAGTGGACTAATTGAGCAAGAATTCCTGAAACGGCTTTTAAGAACACGGTACATATATCTTGAAACCGGTAACTGAAAAATCGCTCGCCGTGAGAATTCATGTTCGGATATAGGTAGAGAGAGGCCGGAGCTTTGCTACCTTTAATCCAAGAAGACTGCAACCTCCGAAAAACCTGCGAGCGTGCCCAACGTACTGTTCCATGTGTGCGCGCGCGCGCAAAAAAAAAAGGAAAGTAGTTCGTCTGCTTGAAAAAAAATGGGGAAAAGAGGAGAGAAGGAGAAAGTGAGAAGAAGGAAAGTGAGAGGAGGAAGAGGGAACGGGCGGGTGTCTTATTGGAAGCGTTACGTGGAAAACGTTGCCGGTCTGCACGGGAGGATGCGTACGAATAAAAGCTTAGTGCCGTGGCCAAATCGCGGAAGGTGAATGGCCGCGATCGCGCGGAGTCCCATTCACGCGTTAAAGGCACCTCTCCACGGTTTTCGGAACCGGTTGCACGAAATCCATGGGAAAATGGCCGTGCACCGTGGGAGCCCTGTGTGCGTGCGTGTCGGCGCGTCAGCCGTCTTTCACGACGGTTTTCTTCAACGGCCGTGGCCATTCCGTTCCCTTAAATTCGACGTGGCCGAGAACGCAGTCGTAACGACAACGAAACACCGCGGACACACGCCGCGTAGCATACTAATTCGCGCGGGCGGCGACCGGCCGAATTAAACGCGTCTCTACACGCGAAACGTTTTCCGGTTCCGTCACCCGTCGATATTTCGACGACTCTCGCGGCGGCCGCGCTCCTATTTCCAGCCCCCGAGTAACCCGCGCCTTCTATAATCGGTTCTGTAACAAGGGATCACGGATATTATTATTATTATTATTATTATTATTATTATTATTATTATTATTATTATTATTATTATTATTATAACAACATCGTAACGATGACGACCCTCAACTCCAGCGGAGTAAGAATACTCCGACGACGATCCAGACTCGTCCCAGGATGGGACAACATTCCGCGTGAAACGACAACAATGAGCAATTTATTGCACGGAAGAAGTCCTGCTAAAAATATTGTACGATTTTATATTGAGAATCGTAGTCGTGACATTATTTACGATTCATCGAGAATTGTGGACAAATATAAAAAAAAAANCGGTTTTCGGAACCGGTTGCACGAAATCCATGGGAAAATGGCCGTGCACCGTGGGAGCCCTGTGTGCGTGCGTGTCGGCGCGTCAGCCGTCTTTCACGACGGTTTTCTTCAACGGCCGTGGCCATTCCGTTCCCTTAAATTCGACGTGGCCGAGAACGCAGTCGTAACGACAACGAAACACCGCGGACACACGCCGCGTAGCATACTAATTCGCGCGGGCGGCGACCGGCCGAATTAAACGCGTCTCTACACGCGAAACGTTTTCCGGTTCCGTCACCCGTCGATATTTCGACGACTCTCGCGGCGGCCGCGCTCCTATTTCCAGCCCCCGAGTAACCCGCGCCTTCTATAATCGGTTCTGTAACAAGGGATCACGGATATTATTATTATTATTATTATTATTATTATTATTATTATTATTATTATAACAACATCGTAACGATGACGACCCTCAACTCCAGCGGAGTAAGAATACTCCGACGACGATCCAGACTCGTCCCAGGATGGGACAACATTCCGCGTGAAACGACAACAATGAGCAATTTATTGCACGGAAGAAGTCCTGCTAAAAATATTGTACGATTTTATATTGAGAATCGTAGTCGTGACATTATTTACGATTCATCGAGAATTGTGGACAAATATAAAAAAAAAAACACGTCGCCTAAAATTGACAATATATTATACAATATTTATTATTATTATTATTGACAATTATTGATAATTATTATATATTATTATTGACAATATATTACAATTAACAATTATAATGCAAATTTGATGCAAATACTTCTCAAATTCTCCGCAAAAAAAAACGAAATTGCAACCGAGAATGATGAAAATGGCGGAGAGTCTACACTCGGCGTTGTCGTTTTTATGAAGCAACAGATTAGACTTTTGAATGTTCACTGTTTGAGAAATCTGTTAGCAGTTAATGAACTTCCGCAGTCCACGTGGCGACATCAGATAACCATAAATCAAATTGTGCACGGTAATAACGTTGTTGACATTATTATTTATATTAATACGCTATTAATTATCGTTTATTCGGCGGTGATAATTATCGTAAACGGGCTAAGCTGTCGTTTAAATACGGCGCATTATGGCAAATTAACCAACAATCTGTTGCCGCGATTATTAATTCAACGTTTCCTCTCGCGGCTCGCGCGAATATTCCGAACAGTTCGCGACAATAATCAATGTTATTAACTCCCGTCTCCCGTTGCACTCTTTTTTTTCGATCGCACGGCGAGATACTTGCGGCTTTCCGTTTGCGTTAACCAGTATGTATATGCAGAGGGAAGAGCCCACGATAAAGCAAATTGCCCCGAGGATGTATCGCGGCACGGCACCGCCATCGAGATTGCACGCCTCCTAATCCCGTCGCTCGCGACGAAACGTAAATAGATATTGGTTAATCGTAAAACTACACGCCATTACTCGGACCGCGATTCGATCAATCTATCCGCTACACGGAATTTTCATTACTCGGCTATCCCCGCGAGATGAAAAGTTCGGATTGGACCCCGTGATTAAACCGCATAACCGATTAACCCGCGAACACCGTTCGGGGACCGTACCAGCCGAAAACGTGACGAAAGTTTTAATCTCTTGCATGAAACTCGGAACGCAATCAAGAAAGAGCAGCCGCACACAACTTCTTTATTCCCCGGAATTTTACTTCGTTCTGTGCAAGTTAAGTTTTTTAATAATATTTCTTTTTTCGTATAAAGCGTAACTATCCACGAATCGTGCAGCAAATCTTTTGTTCGTCTACAAGGAAAGCATTCGTACAGCTAGCTTTCTTTTTTGTTGAACGATCATGACCGTTTATGGATTTAATAATTATCATTTTGTGAGAAATTAGTCTAAGAACTGTAATAATAGAATAGAATAATATAATATAATAATATAATAATAGAATGATATAATAATATAATAATAGAATGATATAATAATAGAATAATATAATAATATAATAATAGAATAATAGAATAATAGAATAATAGAGTTAGATTATTATTATTATATATTAGATTGTTATTATATAGATTATAATAATCCAATTCTATTATTCCGAAATTGAATATATTTTAAATAAGGTAACAGAAGATCATTGGACGATTAATTCTTTCGAATACCTCAACTTTCAGACTGTGCAAGAATATTGGAGAGTTTAATCGTACACTGCGATTTACCGAATCTCCGATATCTGAATTCTTTATTATCTAACCACATGGCGCACGAAAATCAATGGATTTAACGCAGTCTAGATACAACATTCCCATTGCATAAACCAGTGAAGATTTAATCTAGCGCTTTAATTATGCAACTGTTCTGTTATCTGAACTTCTGCCGCACGTTCGCATTCTAAATTCTCCGAAACCCTTAATCAGCGAAGGTTCAAAACGACACGGGAAAAAGTATATCTTTCGTTGAACGCATACATAGGTCGACGTAACTACAGTAAATTCTCCCCAATTGACGCTTAGCTTGTACATAAAAATCGACAATTTGGGAAGAAGGGATACGATTATTCGTGCCTCGCGACTTATTTTTATAGTTGTTGATTGTCAATAATTACAAAAACGAACCGCGAGGCTTCCGGAATTGTCCATTTTTGTGCACAATCCGAGCGTCAATTAGGGAGAATTTACTGTAATTAAGGATTCTATTGTCGATCGAAACCCTACTCGGTGCTCCGGGAATTTCCGTTGTATTTCTGTAATTTCCAAAATTATTTTAGCGTTGTTTCGAGATTAAGATTATAAGTATAGTAGGTCGTTGAATTTGTTTCGACACCGGCCAGAATATCGTCAAGTTAAAAATATATGTTAACATTTAAAAACTCGAGGTGACCAGCAGTTTTTATAAATAAAATTTGTTCTGGCAAGTTTTGATATTTTAATTTACGGAAAAGTGAATGCTGGCCAACTTTTGTTCGAAGTATTTTCTTTTTTTTTTGCGTGGTCGTCAGAAATGTTTGTAAAATCGTAGTTTGTTTTCAAGTTTGATACGGGCATTGAACGCGGCCGTTGAAACTTCAGCCGCTCAATTGTTAGAATTCACAGAAACTTGAATGTAGCGA